AGGATATGAAGAGTGGAGTAATCCGAGTCTTTGGCTTGATAGGGGCTGGAATGCACACAGGAGGAGCACACACCTCAGCGATCCGGGAACTAGGAGAAACAGGAGACACTTGGAGACGAGGAGACACTAGGAGGAACACAGGAGGTAAGTAATGCAGGACGTATTCAAAGGAAAGCAGTAGCAAAGTCACTGAGTCCTCTACGTGTATACAAGACCGGACAGTGAGGGTGTCTGAGGTGTGTGCTTTTATGCAGGCTGGTGATGAGGTGCTTGATTGGTGACAGGTGCTGGTGCTCAGAACTCAGGTGAGAGGGATCGTTGTGATGATTGGGAGGTGACTGAGTCTGGCCGATCTGTGACACAGGGATCCATTCTGTATAGCAGACTGAAAAAGTTTGGATCTTTCTTTCTATCGCTGCTTCTCCCTCTTCCTCTATCTCCCAATAAGTATTATAATAGAAGGAGATAATGAGTAATGAGAAGTAAAGAAAGGCTTCCCATTCTCCTCGCAGCAACAGCAGAAGCTAAAGACTTTCTAACGAGCTCACGCACCTCAGAGGAGATTACATCTAAACTGTGGCACTTCTCCTAATTGCAATCAACACAGGCAGTGCCAAAAGCTGTGAATAACCCAGAGTGAACCTGCTGTCCCTTCAGCCATACGTTACACAAATCGGCATATTATTCACATTATATGCCTGTGAGTGATTATTATACACTGTAAAAAATATTTTTCAAAGTTGTAAATAAAACAAAGATTATTAGAGTAAAGTTGTAAATAAAACCAAAATTATTAGAATACGTGTCACAATAAAATACTATTTCAGGCTTTCTACTTGTTATTTCTTTATAGTTATTTGTGAAATTTACTAGCAATTTTTGAGTGAAAATCGTGTAAAAGTAAATCCTACACCAGTTTAGTAGGTACTGCATGCCTTACAAACTCAAATTAGTTCATCAAATTATACTGGTTATCAGACATAAATTGTGAACTGTGAGCTACCAGCAGGGTAGTTTTGGTCATAATTTGTTCTACAGGCTGTGCTCAATTCAGCATTCTTGCTAAGAGGGAAAAAAAGAAAGGAAAAAACGGTAAATCCTTTTTATTTTTATTTCCTTTATTTTTGTGGCCCAAATGGTCTTCCGCAAATGTCCAGAACAGGTTTATGGCTCTATATTTCTCTCAAATAAAATTCAGTGTGTCACCATGATTTGAATGTAAGAAACCTTTTATTTGAATTCACTGTACAGTTGCACCACTATTCTTGTGAACTTTTGGACAGCTGCAAACCTCTGTCTATAAAATATTGCAGGATATCTGAACATCTCCCAATATTTTGTCCTGTTTGCTTCTGTTTAGTTCCTATCCCTTCTTTAACCAAGCAAATGCTTGTGCATGCAGAGCGCAGTCTGTGCTGCAGCTTCCTCTGACCTCCAGACGCTGGACGTTTTTTTAATGTACATTCTCACCAACCAATTTCATACCTCATTTACGGCTTCTTCCTCCACTGTGAGACACAACTAAAATTGCTCTCTAGCAAACACACACACACACACACACAACAAGAGAGCTTGAGGACTACTGAATCAAATTTAGAGACACTCTAAAACCACACAGTATTTTTAGATCCGGGTAACCTTTGCCTACCATGCATTCAGATCGTTGCAAATGGCTTTTGTCGACTGAGGGAAAGAACTTTTAGAGTGTTATTATTATTATTATTATTATTATGGAAACACAGGATTGCACTAATTACAAGATACCTTTACGAAGTTATGTCATCTCAGTCTAAATAGCCATAGATTGCACTGCAAAATAATGTTCTTAGTTGATATTTTTATTATCTTGTCTTCTGGGGGTAAAATACATCTAAACAAAACAATATTAATATGCATTATTAATTGCATTATTATTATTATATGCATTATTACTTATTAATTACTGTACAGTATGCACACACACACACACACACACACACACATAGAATAATAATAATAGTAATAGTCAAAGTCAAGGTCAAAGTCAAAGTCAACTGGACCAGTTTGTGAATGAGCTGTTGAGGGATGATTGTGTTGAATACTGAACTGAAGTCTATGAACAACATTCTGACATATGAGTCTTTTTTGTCCAGATGTGTGAGTGCTGAGTGGAGGGTAGTGGCGATGGCATCATTGGTCGAGCGTAGTAATCATAAACTCCACCAGGGGTGAGCAGTGTTTGCAGACCACAACAGCATCGCGGCACCACGCATCATTGATGTAAACACAAAGCCCGCCGCCGTGGGTCTTACCTCCCTCGACGCAAGCTCTGTCCGCTCTATAGCATGTTAGCTGATCGAGCTGAATAGCGCAGTCCGGAACACTGTTGCTGAGCCATGTTTCCGTGAACACAAAAACACAACAGTCTCTTACAGTCCTCTGAGTTGAGCGTAGTAGTCGGATGAAGTCCAGTTTATTATCCAAAGAGCGTACGTTAGCCAGTGCGATGGTGGGGATAGCTGGCTTGTGTGGGTTAGCCGCTAGCCTAGCCCGGCTCTTCGGCGTGCGCGGAGTTTAGCTCTAAAAATGTGGTTCTGCCGACATCGAGCAGAAACTCACGACTGTATGCGCGCTTAGAGACAGATAGACGTGACGAATACGTACAAAAACACTGCGACTCACAAGATAAAAAACACGAAAACACAGTTCTGTCGGGAGAGAGAGAAGCCGCAGCGTGTGCACGCGCCGCCATCTTACTAGATCTTACTAGAAAGTCCCAGATAATATATTAAGAATTATTCATAAATATCACACACACACACATACACATAATATATACTTTTATATTAGATAAATGTGTTACATTTATTTATTGAATAAAAAAGATTTGGTGTAGTTGTATTTTCAAAAGATTTGGTGCATTTTCAAATTTATTTCAAATTCAGAGAGAATCAGTAGATGTACATCTATGGTTTTTGGTCCTTGGGGAGTGAATCTTTTTAAGCTTAAAAAAGCTCAGGGAGTGAGGTTAACAGAAAGGGAGGCTTCATGCATTGATTTCACTTGCTCTGAATTGTATTGATTGCATGCAGGAGTCCCTCCTGTATTTAACTGTAGTGATACTTGAGCTCGGAGGTCAATCTGTGTTGTTTCATGATAAAATATCTGAAAGATCCTTTTATTTGCATCTAGCAGGCATGCTGAGGGTGAAATCACAAGTGCAGATCTCATCTCTACATAAAGTATATAAATCTGTAACACAGATGAGGCCTGTCTTTAATGAAGAAGGATGTGGTTGATGTAAACATTTCCATGTCTTATTAATGACAGACTTCTGAACATGCGTTATTAATCATTACTTTGTAAAAACACGACCTCTGAGCAACGATGTCTTCTCTGAAACCAAGATAACTCCCTACAAACATCAAGATAGTTATTAATATCAATCAGTCTCAAAATATCTTCAAAGGACTTCATGAAAATCCCTGTTTCTCTGAGTCCTTTGCTGCCATAACACAAAGTAATTTATATGTCTACTGCCTTTTTATTTACATAAATATTATATTTCCACTCATTTAGAGTAAACATTTTCGACATTTAGATCATTAGCACTTTATTCATAAGTAACAAAAACCCATTCGGAATGAAATTCATCTTTTACTCTCCACAAGGGGTCTGATAAACCATCTGTTCTCAAAGTTATACCAACACCCACTGGGTTTTATTAGTTTCTCTCACTCCCTCTCTCTCTCCAATCACCAGAGCTGCAGTCAAGGCTGGAGACGCCATTAGGGCAACATATCAGTGCCGACCTTCATACACTTTTAGAGGTCCGGAACTTCCCCACAGTCTCCAGCTGATAGTGCCCCAATCCCCTGAACGCTTCATTCAGCTGCCTTCAATGCAACACTTGCAGACGTCGCACAGCTGGATTCATGCCCTTGTTTCCCTTTTCACACTCTTTCTTTATCTTGAATGTACTTATCAGTTGTTTGTACTGTACACTATTACAGTATATATACACACCACTTGAGGGATCAGTAATGCTAAGGTTTCAGTAGGGTTTTAGATAATACATTTAAACATATTTCAGTTTTAGCAAGGGTACAGCTAATGATTCATAGCCATTCTTTTGTCAGGACCTCGTTCAGCAAAAGGTCGGGATTACATGGGATTATCCACAGTGGAAATTGCACATTTTGAGTGCAATATTATGTTTTTATACAAACAAAAGTTTCGGGTTGAAAAATCAACACTTGACTTCTAAATTTATTTCATGAGAATACAGTAAAAAACTGTAATATTGTGAAATTGTGTTATGGTTTAAAAGAACTGTTTTCTATTTTTATATATTTTAAAAAAGTAAGTGATTCATTTATTTTAATGTTGAAAACAGTTTTTGCTGCTTAATATTTTTTTTGTGGAAATCATGATATACATATATAAAGTTTGGTAAAGTAAATAAATAAATAAATACGTTCACAGCAAAAATGGGTTTCATCATTGATAATAATAAGAACCATTAATAATTGAGCACTAATAATAATTGATAACAACTGAGCCAAAATCATAATTATAGACTGATTTCCGATGGATCATGTGGCACTGAAGCCTAGAGTAATGGCTGCTGAAAATTCAGCTTCAAATTACTAAATGAACACTTTTTTTTTTTTTAAGGTGGGGTTATGGTTTGGGGATAGAAATTATAATTCGCTCAGTATAAAAAAAATAATAATAAAAAAAAAAAAGGATGCCTATGGAAAGTTTCCATAATTATTATATGTGTACCAACATCTGTGTGCGTGTGTATTCTGAAAGTGACACTAACAGATCTAAGAGTTCATTGTTCTGCTGGAGTTGTCCTATTCATCTGACAAGGAGTGTATGTGAGACAGTGCAACTCATGGTCTCTTTTTTCTTATGCACACCCACTCTCAATTCCCCTCTCGCTCTCTTTATATCATTCTCACAAACACCCTTGCGTTCAATTTCACTTATCTTTTCCTGCTCTCCTCTCATAGGCATACAGTCTGGCACAAGTAAAGGCCAGCCACACTGCTCAGATCCTAGCCGCCCATGCAACCCCTGTCTGGACGCCACCAAAGCCTGCAACCTGAATGAAAACTGCAAGCGTCAGCGTTCCAACTACATTTCCACCTGCACCCGTGTGCAGACACAGGGCCAGCAACCCTCACAGCCTCAGTCGCAGGACAGCTGCAACAGAAAGCGCTGCCATAAGGCCTTGCGTCTGTTCTTTGAGCGTGTTGACACACAATACAGCTACGGGTTGCTCTTCTGCTCCTGTAAGGACCAGGCCTGTGCTGAGAGGAGGAGACAGACCATTGTACCCTCCTGTTCCTATCAGGACAAGACCAAACCCAACTGTCTTCAGCTGCGCAACACCTGCCGCCTGGATGTGCAGTGCAGGTAGGCGAGTCAGTGCGTTTCATGATAGTCCTGCATTAAATTGAGATTTATTCATTTACCAGATGCTTTTTATCTAAAACCACTTACCATAGCTACAAAACAAGTGATTAATTCTAAGAAGACCGTAACATAATAAGGTACAGTTTCCATAAATCTGTAACTTTTGGATCTTTATTTATAACCATGGCTTTCTGACAATGTCTCCATGGAACAGCAACCACAAACTTAATGCAGGGAAAATTCCCTTGGATCTGGGGTTATAGGGATAGTTCATCCAAAAATGAATTTTCTGTCATAATTTCCTCTTCTTAATGTCATTCCAAATCTGAATGACTTTCTTTCTTCTGTAGAACACAAAAAGAGACATTTTTAATAATGTGCTGGTCGCTTTTTTACATGCAATTACAATGAATGGGGACAGATGATTTTAGGCTAAAAAAAAAAAGACAGAAAAGTGACAGAAACATCTTACAAGTTTACATTTACATTTTTAATGTATTATAAAAGTACACTGAAAATGATCAATTTTCTCTCAGAAATTGCTAGTAAATGTCATGAACAATTACAAAGAAAGGGTAAGTAACACGTTGAATTAAACATGAAATTTTGAAGCAGAAAACCTGAAATAGTATTTTCTTGTAAAATGTAATCGAATAATCTGTTTTATTTATGCTGAAAAATCATTTTACAGTGTAGTCCATACAACTTGTGTGCCATATTTGATATTATTTATTATAAGTCTTATATATTATAAGTATCTTAAGTGTTACCATGAAGTCATTATTCACTGAAAATCTTATAAAAAAAATAATGATTTCATCGTTTGGCTTCATAAGATGGCTTATACAATTATACAATTTGTGTTCTTTTTTTATATTTGGTGCTTTTGTTTTCTTTTTGAAGCCTGACAGCTCCAGTTACCATTCTTTCAAGCTTCAAATGGACACAAAATAACAATAAAAGTATTATAAAATATAAACCTCTGTCTTCACATAAAACAGCTTTATTGGCTTTGTAAGATTTGGAGTAAATGTACTTTAGAGACATTCACTTTTATGATATTAAAAAGATTGTGCCCAAAAGTGCCCTCATAGGTTTTAAGGAAGAAAGAAAGTCATATGGGTGTGGAGGGTCTTGTTGGATGAACTGTTTCTTTAAGTGCTTTGCTCAGGGGCTTTAGTAGTAATGTGCATTGTGCTCAAGGGTACGGTGGTGTTGGCTCATGGCTCACTCTTTGCTGAACCAGCAACCTTCCAGTTAACTGCTCTGGACCTTAACCACTACAACACCCCATTTAACACACACTACATTTGAAGTACTTGTTAAATTGAATGTAAAGTTTATATTTGATGTTTGCTTAAGCATACCTTGCACTCATTTTCCATTTAATTTTAAGGTTATACACAATGCATTTAATGTTGCTTTGAAATTAAAGCCTGCTCTTTGCATCCACCATATTCTATTACTGCCTTGAGCCTTTGCCAGGAAAGTAATTGCAGACATTTTAAGAACCTTCTATTAGAAACAGAAGAGACTTTCTGCTTAATTGACAAGACAGTGTTCAATTAGGCTGAACCGAACATTAGTACATCACTTTTACTGTGTTTCTCTGTGATTTAACAGCCAACCGTTTTATTAACACAAGCTTATCCACTACCACTTACCAGTGGACCATTGCTGGATTACTCTGTCAATGCCTGTCAAGAAATCAGGCCTCTGTAGAATGAGAAGGTTTGGATTAAACACAGATTATAACAAAAACTACACGTTATATGTACAGTATATATATATATATATATATATATATATATATATATTATGTGTGTGTGTGTGTGTGTGTGTGTGTATGTGACCTGCAGAGGTGTAGGGTAAATGTAATTAATTACTGTACTTGACTATCTTTTTGGATAAGCTGTAGTTTTACTGAGTATCAAAGCTTTTAGCAACTTTTACTCTCTACTTCACTATATTTTGTACAAAGTATCTGTACTCTTTACTCCACTACATTTGTAATGAGTGTTGCATTACACATTACATTTTGCATGGCACCTAGCTTTTTCTGCAGCAGTTTATTTCTGGTACAAAATAAATGTTATCGCCAACTACAGGGCATTAAATGTACTATATCTTGTGTGTTTTGCCCAACTCACCCAAACTTGTCAACAAGGCTACTTTACGTGAATGCGAGTTTGTTAGCAAGTAGTTGTGAATCAAAGGTGGTTTATATATGAGATGAGGACATGACTGCGAGGCCAAAACCAGCACATCTAGTGCAAGAAGGCTTTGACTTTTTAATTTTGCTTAACATTATTTTATTTATCCGTAATACTGGAGACCTTTTTGAAGGATATTGTTTTTGTTTTTTTGTTAAATTTTGAGGTGTTCAGTTTTATTTTGGTTTTAGAAAATTAACATGATTGCTCTCCTCACAAATCAACTTTTGCTTGTTTTTCACAGGCATGTCTGTTTGACTAGTGCATCTTTGAGCCTATATTTAGTATAAGTAAAATACTTAAGTACTGTTAAAATCAGATACTCTAAGACTTGTACTCAAGTTGTTTTGGAATTGGTGACTTGTAACTTGTAATGGAGTAATTTTCAATGTAAGCTAACTGTATTTTTACTCAAGTATGGTTTTCAGCTACTCTTTACACCTTGTGCTGGCAAAATGAGTCAGAATGTGCATGGGCTAATTATAAGCTACAGGCAAAACAAGTGAAAAATGTCAATTTTGTTACAATTTTAGGTTTTCACAAAAATGAGTTAATGAAGCCATCGTCTAGCGATCCCAGTGCTCCACATAGTAATTTAACACCTCAAGACGTCGATCAGATGATATATTTCCAAGGCATTCTTCCGGTTTTTGTCCTTAAAATGCTCTTGTGTGTAGGATTCATTTCTTACGCCTCTCTTCCAACGCCTGCGTTGCTAATTCCAAAACGTAATTTTAGACCTAGCAATGGAGGCTTGAGCAATTGATGGCAATGCAGTTAATAATGAAGTTATTAGAGAGAGAGAGAGAGAGAGAACAGTGTTCGGCAGCAGCGTCTCTACTAATAGTGAAACTTTAAGTTCATTTTCTTCAAGAACAGCGCCACTGTTACCTTGCTTGTGAGAAATGTCATGTAGCTTTTAAGTTGCTAAATTATTTTATTGATAAAATCGTCAGAGTAGCGGTAACTACGTTAGCACATGTGTGTTTCCATGTGTGCAAGTATATGTAAGCTACTGTATGTGTGTGTGTGTCTTTAAGAAAGAGAGAGCGGGAGAAATAGAGTATGTGCTTTCTGTAAATAATAAAACGTAGTCGTTTTTATCCTATTGTTTTCTTGCTTGTATATATATATATATATATATATATATATATTTCAAAATTTTCTCATTAGGGCTGCCAGTGTTTCAAAATCATTACATTGATTGTAAAGGTTTCACAATTCTTTTTTTCTGATTTTTTTCTTGTTATTCCGATTTTACAATTCCAATGTTACACGTCGCAATTCTGAGTATATATTTCACAATTCAGATTTTTTTTTCTCAGAAGTATAAGTTTATATCTCACAGTTTTGACATTTTTTTTTCTGAAAATTAAGAGTTTAAATCTCATAATTGCAAGAAAATTCTAAGATATAAACTAAATATTGCAAGAAAAAAGTTCTAATTGTGATACTCTTTTATCTTGTGTCGGAAACAGGCTTTCACAGGTTTCTAATATACCATGTATCAAAAAATGAATTAATTTGACATTTTCAATGGCCATTTAAATTTATTTTATTTAGTTTTGAAAATGTATTTTTATATTAAATGCATTTAGTTCAACATTTGGTGCTGATACACCAAAGGAACAGAAGCCTGATCATTCAAAAAGGGTCATGCATATTATATGCAAATTACAGAAGTGGCATCGAACATGAATTTGCTTTTAGCCTTCAGATACCGTGAAGCATCCCAACGCTTAATCCATGGCTGTGCTGGAAGATGTGGGTAGACAAGCAGTTATCTGTAATTCTCGGTAATGTAGCAAAAATAGCCACATAGTGTGAACAGTTGATATGCCAGAATAGTGCATTTCAAAGAAAACTATTCATTCAATTTGATACACATTAATGTCTTTCAAATTCTAAGACAATCTGGTCTTGTTAACATGGCCTTTGGTAGTAATGTGCATTTAGCAATGATTGATAGGTTCATTGAACACATGCATAACCAAATAATCACTGGAGCATTAATGGAAACCAATTATACGAATATTCCCACGAACGATTGAAAATAAACAATCACGCAAGGACACACATGCACACCTTACTTATAGGACAGAAGACGCTGTTCCTGTTGTTACTTTAAATAAGTGGATGCATAGTTCAAGTACTCAATCTGGGAATCATCTATACTGCATGTTTCCCTGCTGATTTTTGACTATGAAGCGGTATGAAAGCACTTTGAAGGAGAGATCAGAGATATAAGTTAACTGGAGATATGAAGCAACATTAATGAGGAATTTTAAGTGGACAGATTTGTTCTTGTGTGGCATAAATGTTTAGCATTAGGTTATTTGGTAATAAAGCACTGCTGCATCAGATGTATGCAAGCAGTCGTACAATCACTGTTTGTGTGATTGCAAAGGATAGACATAAATCTCTTCTTTGCTCTGTGTGGAGGCACGTCTGTGGAGGTCTTTACGTGGGTGTGTGTTTATGTGAAATAGAAAGAGCGATAATGTAGGCGAAAAGGCATCTCTTCCTTCGGATGACTGCTTCGTGTTTAGGATCGATGAATCGCAGGATTTACTGTTTCACACTGCCACGAAAACCAGTAGTGCTGCCAACAATATGTATAAACATTAACTATAGTGTAAAAAAATGGTCAGGATTTTATATATCATAAATGTCTGTAAAATTTTTGTTGGAAAAAAAATATATACAACCATTGTGGTGATTCCCTTGAAAAAATAAAATTTTGAAAGATATTCAAACAGAGAGTATTCAAACGTAATAATATTTCAT